GGGAGTTAAGAAAACCAGAAAAAAAAACAAATCAAGTTGCTTTGTGGTTCCGATGTGGGCACCTCGATTTCTTGCTGAAGATGAGGATACATATATGCATTAAATTGGGAAGTAAGAAAACCAGAAAAAAAATCAATCTTAATCTAACCATTTAGATCAAATGCATTTCTCTCCAGTAGTTCGTTAGTTGAATAGTTAGTTTTAATTCATCTTTACTAATAGAAAGAAAATTGAAACTTGAAGGCTTATACTTGCGTGTTTCACTTTATATACAGTTCAGATAGATTTACATCCAAGCCTCTAATTAAAGATAAATTAAACTATTTCTTACTTATTTGAAATATATAAATATGTTATTTCAAATAACAGTTTCATTTTATCTAATAGCTAAAATATGTAATTAATCCTAATTTAAATTACAAAATCTTGGACAAGTTTCAATTTAGATTAAAATCATTAATTGATTTTTAAATAACAAATTACAATTTTATTATTTAGCCAGTAATTTCCATTCCACAGGTGAAGTGGCGGTTATAACTTGGCTTGAGGGCGTCATCTCATTTAAAATAGCTTATCTGCGATTAAAATGCTATCTGTGACTAATTTGTTACTGTTCCATTAACTTATGAAGTATGTTTGTAACACAAAGTTAAATTAATTCAGTTGTGTAAAGTATATGCTTTTTCATACACTTTTTAAACTTAAATTAAAAAAATAATACCGGATACATATAAAAACTCCTTATATTCTGTCCAATGAATAACATTTATTGCATCATACTTATCAAGCGAACTCATCAATAAAATTGCAATTACGTAGCATATATGTATACGACAGTTGCACTATTTATAATTAAGTTTTGAACTATAGGTTTTGAACACTTGTATTTAATATATTAAATGCAATACGATAAAAAATACATAGTTACTAAGATCACCCATTATGTTTCTAGCGAAAGTCTATAACAATTATTGTAATTATTGATAAAAAAAAATAACAGTTTAAAGAACGTTAAGATATTTGCTTATAATTTATTTTCAAAAGATTTGTGGTTAATGCTAAAATAAAATATAAATATAAGTAGTCAACATAACAAATTATCGTCACAAGTTCAGTCAGATATATAATAAGTAAACGTAGAAAACATTGATCCAAAGTAAATGCATTGTTCAGGAATTTGACATATATATATCAGGTGGAACATAGAATGAAACTGCACTTTAACGAAGTAAGAATGATATATTGGCTTCGTCAGTAATAAAAACGATTGCATCTGGTTCAGATGGTGCGGATCCAATTACCTCCGATCAATTACAACAGTTGGTAATAACATGGATTAGAAAATATGCAGCTGACTATGTAATACAACAAAACCTTCTATATGACGTTAAGATTTCTATAATTGCGAAATTGTATTATGTCATTATGTACAATGGTCTTATTAGTATTCATATATATATCCAAAATCTGAGAACTTGTCAAAATGCACTCTGAGAACGTACAACTAGCAATTGTTATGTTAGTTTCATATGCGAAGCTGAGGGATTTCGGAGACGTTAGAATCCGAACCGTACATTACCTTTCTCGAAGTAAACGCAGTTACAGGAATTTCATTCAACAGATTTCTGTAGATGGACCATCATGTTGCTCGTACAAGTAAGGGGAAATCTTTTAAGACGGAATGTAAGAGCAGTACAGATCAGAACGTTTGAAGCCTAGTGATGCCCTGTTGAATAACATCAGCAATCACTCTAAATCAATGTAAAGACATGTTGACATGTGAAATTTAGTTCCAAATATCTTTTAATAATTTCTATTGATGCATATATATTTATTATATGTCGTTATACTACAACCAAAGACTAAAGAAACGAAGTTGAAGTTTCAAAAAATTTTAATAAAAAAATTATACTTAACTAATAAACAACAACCAATAATAATTTTTCTAAATAAAAATAAAATGCAGTATTGGCTACAAAATAACTTTAAATCAATAATTTAAAATCCAATTTATTATTATTATTCACAAATACTAGACTCTGGTTTAATTAACTTATAGGTAACCCACCACATGCCCACTTGCTTCAATGGCGCTTGCAAGCCCAGCAGGTGGTTGCCTTCAGTTTAATTAATTTTATTTCAAAGGAAATAATTTATGAGTTACACAAATGTATTTATCAAAGATTTCTTTGTCGTATAATCATAATTCAAATAAGAAGTTTAAAACTATTACGGGTCTAATGAATCGTAAATAAATATGTGTGTAATTATATATAAAAAAATGAGAAAAAATAATGCCATATAAGCTCGCATTAGAGTTTAAGCCATCAATTAAAAGACTTTATTTATCAAAACTACTTGCCTTTTTTTTTAATATACAGCATTAAATTTTTAATTTTATTTTAATATTTTAGTCTGAATTATCTCTCTCTATCCATGCAGTTCAATTTAACGTATATGAAGAAAGGAAAGCAGAGCGAAGTACATCCATCAAGATAAGTATAATTTGTGGTAATAAATGCACGAAATACGAAGATGATCGGATATATTCTCGGAAATGCCACTTCAGAACAATGAACAACTTAATCAAATGCATTTTCAATATGGAATAGCAGACTTATTTAATAAGTTAAGTTTAAGGTTAGGGTTAACTTAAAGTTAAGTATTTTAAATATTTTTTTTATTATGCAAGATAGTAATTTCTTTAAAATGGAAACAGAAGCTAACTAGTAACATATGTTACTATAATAACACCTAGTAACTTCAGATGTGTCCTTTGAGTGCTGAGTATTCTCTGAAGAGACATGGACAAAATAATCAGTATTGCTTCACTCAAACCATATTATTAGTCTACACATAGTAAATTAGAGTTTTAACTGTAATTGTTTGATCTAAATTTCAATAAATTTTCAATTTAATTTATGTTTTTAGATATTATTTTTATATATTGTATATACTTTGTTATAGACTAATTCAAGTTTTTATATTTTATGCTTCTTTTCTGCCATTACAATATGTTATATCTATAGTGTGGTTTCTTAAGTTGACATTTTGCAAGGAACCAATTTACTTGATTTGTAGATGCAGTTATGTATCCTTAAAGGTATTCATTCATTAATATATGTTTTTATCAGAACATCTATCTATTTAAGTAAACTTACCTCTAATTTTTATTTTACAGCAATGGTTCGGCTCATTGTACTCAGTTCTAACCTCACATTTCTAAAGCACAACCTAGTAAGATATGGTAACCAACTCAAGCAGCTCTCGATAACACGGTTTTCAGTATATTTGAAAACAAATCTTGAACTAAAGCAATTTGATTCTAAATTAGTAGGGAATTTTAATATATCACTTATATATAATATATAATACTTACTTACTTACAAAGCACTTATTATTTACAATTTATTTCTTATTTTTTTATTCTTATTTTTAACGATATTAGAATTAAAGTGTTATTTAAATTCAATACTACTTTGATAGCTTTTAAAAGAATTTTTTTTATTTTCCGGTTTTAAGATACATCTCATTAAAATCCTATAAATATTCGCCGATGAAACTTAAAAGATAATTTGACGACATTCATTCATTCATTTATTTATATTTTATTATTATTATTATTTTGCAACTTAAAGTGATATTTCATACTTCATTAAGCTTTTTTTATTTTACATTTGCAATTACGTCGACATGTTATTTGGACTATAAAAATGATACGAGATACAAAAACTGTTCAGCAAGAGTGGAGCAAAAGATTGAAGTTTTGGTGCATGCAACATTTTGTTCGATTTAATGAATGAAACTAAAATTTGTGTTCATTAATTAAAACTAAAAAACGAAATTAAACAAGAAAATAATGCAAACCATAACAGGCGGAATTTGTAAGTCTTTAATTAAAAAATAGTTAATTTCCATAACTTAATGGTCGAGCAGACATTTAAGGCTTGCAGCTAATGCAACAAGTCACATTAAAATACCGAAATGTTGATATATTGGTTCATAGTTTAAACCGATAAATTTTTAATATGATATTAATCTTTTAGCTAAATTGACTGCTGGTTAAACATAGTTTATAATTCATAACTTATTGTGAAGTATACAACATTAGAAGCACTTTTGAAACAAGAAGTCACTCGAAAAAAATGCATTAATTTTTTTTAATATAAAACAGAAAGATTTTGATAAGTTCTTCAAAAAATTAGTTTAAGTATCTTATTAATATTTGTTAATATTTGAATCCTGTCAAGGCTGGGTAGTCACAGATTATGTGATCATTATTGAATGATATATTTGACCTCCTAATATCAGAAGGGGATAGTGGTAACCTCCTCTTGGCCCAGATCAAGGCTGGGTAGTCACAGAGAATGTGATCATTATTGAATGATATATTTGACCTCCTAATATCAGAAGGGGATAGTGGTAACCTCCTCTTGGCCCAGATCAAGGCTGGGTAGTCACAGAGAATGTGATCATTATTGAATGAAATATTTGACCTCCTAATATCAGAAGGGGATAGTGGTAACCTCCTCTTGGCACAGATCAAGGCTGGGTAGTCACAGCGAATGTGATCATTATTAAATGAAATGTTTAAATATTACAATTTGATAAAGTTTTCCATTAAACTTCGTTTGACCCTTAGTGGGTGTGAAAATTTTTAAATAAAAGTTTCAGCAAGTCATATTTTTCATGTGAATACAATTTGACAGACAGGTCATCACGCGTAAATCATTGTTGTCCATCTAAGGCCAGCATTTTTATATGGAATTAGCACAGTATCTGCAGTTTTTAAGTAAAACTAATGTTTGCTTATTAAAATTTCAGACTGGACAAAGTTGTGGCTCGTTCGCTAATGGTTAGCAACATATTTAAGTACTTATAATTTTAAAATAATGGCACT